CATTCTTCATCGTTCACGTTTATAAAACCATCTTATCCATTGTCTTACCATTCTAGAGAGATCGTAGTTATCTCCGTATCCTTCACTAATCTGTTTACAATTTTTGGATAGTTTCATTCCTCGTATTTAAGAAAAAAAACGACAGTACATATTTCCCAATCAGCGCACTTTTTGGTTGTTCATGACATTTTAAACATGCATAAAGAAACATAAGAATGAATAAACCTTTAAAGCGCATATTCGATACGTCGACTGCAACGCTGTGCTGCTCCCTCATTTCAAACTGGTGTTTACATTGCGTTGTGCAAGTTATGAAAAATCTCCACACAGAAATAATTGCACTAATATGATTATTTTATCTTGGTATGAAGCAATTTTTTTAATTTGGCGAAATTTTTACATGAAAATAGATCGAATATACCGGAAATTTCCTAAATATAAAAAAAATGATGGCATTGAAATGTACTTTAATCGGTATATGACAAAAAATGCTATTTTAGAGAAAAGGAAAAATGAGTAATAGATGTATGATAGAATATTTAAGGATGCTTTTTGGCTACAAAGATTGTGCAACACACCTAAAAATACGTAAATATATAACAACTGTAAAATTAAATTACATTTTTCAGCTTCCTAGTACGCATTTTAAGGGGACAGTGGACTTTCAAAAACTTTTTTTTAATTATTAAGTAAGAGTAATGAAAATTTATGAGCATATACACTGGAATACAACTAGATCAACTATATCTTTAAAAAAAAATTTCAATTAAAATTTTTTTTTTAAATTTAAAAAAATTAATAATTTTTAAATTTTTTCAAAACATTCCATGCGTTTCAATTTTTTATTTTTTGACTTCGTCTAACATTATTAATGTTTATTAGTACATGTTACACATAAGTGGGTATTATTTAGCAATTTCATGCACCGGTTAATTTTTTAAAAAAGTTTTTTGTTTATTTGCACTTAATTTTCTGTAAAATAACAGATTTTGTACACTAAAAATGAAATTTAACTATCTAAATAAAGTCAAAATTTTAAATGGATACCCAGATTTATTTATGTACTTATCAGTATTCTTCACGAGAAATTTCAAGCAATTTGCTCAAAAATTGAGACGCATGGAACATTTTAAAAGCACGTAAATCTGAAAAACAAAGTTTTGAGAAAAGTCATTTTAAAAATGTTTTTCCACTTACCTTTCATAATTGTTGTTCTGATATTATTAAGCATCCATTTTATTTAATAACAGACATATTTATACTAGATTATTTATTTACAAGCATAATTTGAAGAGAGAAAAAAAAAATTATAATAGAATGCATTGGTTTCACATGGTACAGTTTTTCGGTAAAATGTTTTCAATGTTAGTGCAAATAAATATTAATTTACTAAGAAAACATTTAAAATTTACCAGCACCATATGTTTCCCCTTCTTTTTTAATGTTCTTTGTAATTTTGGATGATTTAGCCAATTTATTGATTATTCTTTTCTTTCTCCAATCACTAGAATTCTTTTTTTCACTCTGAGCTAAACGTCGTTTATCACGTTTATGCGAAATGTCCACAGATACAGAACTTAACTCATTGTGTTCAATAGCTAAACTATTGAAGCAGCCAAAATTATATCCACCTATGGCAGATATAACACCCATTTCAAGTCGCTTTTTAGAAACAAAAGTTTCTTTTGGGCAGTTTTTCCAAATAACACTATGGATGCTTTCGTTGGCATTCTGAGTTTTTCCGCACTGCATCTTTCTAAAAGCTCATCGTTTACAAGCCTTTGATATACTGGAAGTATTTTTTCCAGAACTTGTTCCGACAGCTTAGTTTTCATCAGTGAATGGGACATAGGGTTCTCATTTTTAGCCAATGCCTCTGGTAAAAGCACCATGATGTCGAGCCAGTAGGGCATTTACTATGTTTTGGAGTTTTATCTGTAGATGAACAATGAAACAATGAAGCTAAAATTGCGCTTTTCATTTTTCTTACATCTGGCGCATTGTCTTTTATAGCTTTTCTATAAAAGTTAGTCAGTTTCACAATGGTGTTTTCTTTGAGGTTGCCCTCTTTCCGCCCACCAATAGTGATACCTTTATTCCGCCACTCTAAAATTTTGTTACGGAGTCCTGTGCCAAGCCTTTTTGCCACGTGGTTAATGCATTCTTCTTTTGCAATTTTTATGCAGTTACCATACACATTTAATGATGATAAATGTTGATAGGTCTTGGCATCACCATCTGACAAGATGCTCACATATCGCATACCACAATTTTTAATGGATCTTTTCCATAGAATTTCTGCAGCTTTAACCTCCATGGCATTAGAAGATCCTACATAATTTTCGCTGCATTCTTCTTGGTGGGATTTGTACCATATGGAGTACTCAGCACTATTTTCTCCCAAATCCCTTTTTGCGGTAGTGCATTCTGGGCAATATTTGGAAAGGATTTCGTAATCAATAATGAGCCCAGTCAAAATGTCGATAACGATTCCTATCCCATACAGTGACGAATGTCCCCGTTTCTGCCATGTTCCATCATATGAAACGGTGATGTCTATAACACCATTAGCAGTGCCGAGCAAATCTTCATGGTGTTTTCGGACTACTTTTCGGGAAATTTCAAGAATGTCTTCTTTGAAGCTACACTTTTCTTCATACAATTTGTGTAAACATTTTGAGAAAGTTTTCTTATCCATTGCATGAATACCAATAGCCATAGAGAAAAGTTCTAATGCTGCATGGCCTTTCCCAATCTTAAGAAAAGCTTCAACGAGCTTTTTATTTGCATCGAAACAATTGCTATCATCATCTCGAGGGCTGGAGAATACAGAATTAAATATTTTTCTGCAGCTTTTACATTTTAGCTCTATTTTTGTAGAAAACCATAAGCACTATTACATTCGACATCCAATGAGCACATATCACATTCATCACATTTTGTGTTAGATAAAAGAGCAGACCACATATCATTATTCATCAAAACATATGTACTTTTCTCACTAGTACAAAAAGTTGATGTTGAAGGAAACATCTGAAGTTTGCTAAGACTTGCATTCAAATATTGTTCCTTTTCACCAGCATGTGAACCTTCATCACTAATAGAGATTTCAGTATCCATAAGTGAATTTTCAGCAAGCAAAATATCAGAGTTTTTAGCACACATAGTAGAATCAGAATCACTTTGCATGTGATTTTTTCCCCATCTCTTTTGTACTTTGGATGCACACAAACTCCTTCTTTTTGATGGCCTACCTTTAGGTTTTCGATAGCGCCGACTAATAGCATCCATTGTAAACAAATACAGAACAATTGTATATGTTTTTGAAGCTTTTGTGGCTTTTAGATACAAAAAATTTGATTCCGTAAAGATAAATATTACTAAGAAACAGGCAGCAATCAAAGATGTGTAATTTTAAAAAAGGCAATACTTTCGACTTATGAAAACAAGTGGAAGTGAACAAACAGCAATAAAGCAGTTAAAGGTTGCAGTTAAAATGCGCAGTTGTTAAAACACAAAAATATTAATTCTAATATTTAAAAAAAACACTCAAAAAATTTTGACAACCTAAGCACATGCTTTTGTTTACATTTTTATGTCCATTTAAATTTTTTTAAATGCTTATAACTTTTTAATAAAATTATTTAGACACATGCGGTTTCTTGCATATGGTTCAGTGAACACACGAAGATCATAATTCACAAAAAAAAATTTTCCATAATTTGGACGATTTTCGCCAATTTCAAAGTCCACCATCCCCTTAAAACATTTAAGAGTTTTTTTGTGAGTTATCATTGTAAGTGGAGACTTTCCTATTTTTTGAGCATTCAAAAAAATTCATTTAAAATCAGCACAACAGCTTGACATCTTACATTTTAAGGTACGATATTAATAATTTTTATTTCATGATTCTCTTGTTGACGCTTAGTTCGGGCTAGGAATAATTTTATAAGCTGAAGCTAGTAATTTTTTAAGATTTATTTGCTTTATTACTGGATATATATATAATTAAAAAATGCAAGAATGCCTTTCAAAAATTTTCAACAAAAACACTATAAGATTTAAAAGCCAAACAAGAATTGTAGTAAAATAAATCTAATCCTATCAAGCAAAATATCCTAAAAATAAACATTACAATTAGACTTGCAACAAAAGCAAAGTGCGCATTTGGCATAGTACCAACAACTACAGCTTTGAAATTTTACTAAAATGACTTGAATAAAAGAAAAATTGAAAAGAATAACTACTAGGTGGTTTCCGATGGAATTCTTTCCATTCAAAATAATGAAAATGTGCGCAATTCCCCGCAGTACCAACGAAACATTATTTTCACTACAGTAATCTCAGCTTTTGCCTAATAACTTGCAATGCCAATGCCAATGTTTGTTTGTTTTTTTAACCTTTTTACGATGATTGCAGTAAATTGATGTTAATGTTTTTAGAATTGGCTTGTTGATACAGTCGGCAAATATGAAGTCCACTCCCTATTTTCGTGAATTCTCGTATGGAGTTGTTTACAGCTCATCTTCGCATACGAAAAAAATGAAATTCCTGGATGCTATTTTTTATACATAACATCAAGATGAATTGTGATAGTTTTTATCAAAATATTTATTTTTAGTTTCTAGTAATTAATTAGAAAATAAATGATTTACATCCATGTTCCGGGATTCCTATGGCGTACAATTCAATAAAGTAATTAAGTAGCTAAAAAATGTTATTCATTCTTCATTCAATTCCTACTATTAGCTCACATTCTCCCTATATATATATTTATTTATATATCTTGTTCTCAAATTTTCAGTCATAAATAAAATACTTTCTATTCAACCGCTCAAGTTCAACTACATTTTTTTTCTTAAGCTTGTAGTGGAATGACACTTGATGTTAATACATTTTTTTCAAGTATTAATTCATTAATTAAAGTTAAAAATTAATAAACAATAACAAACAAAAATAATAGTCCAACAGCATATATAGAAAGGAAAATCATTCATTGTGTCCTTGTAGCGCAATACATAAGCGCGTTGGACATCTAATGCAAAGGTCGTGGATTCGAATCCCACCTGGGATGGCCTAATTTCTGAGGATGTAGTTTTTTTTTTTTTACAATTCTATTTTATTAGAACAATTAAATTTAATTAATAAATAAATAGTAACAAAAAAAATAGTCCAACACCCTATAGAGAAAGAAAAATGGAGAATTACAAGAAAAATCGCTTTTTATTCTGCCACTTAATATTGTGATTCTGCTATATGTATATACATATTTATATTAATTGTAATTATTTAATAAGAAGTAACTAGCATAAGATTTTTCTTTGTTGTCCTCAGAAGGGGGAACTGGTTTAAAAAATTATTTTTATATTACTTCTTTGACTTATCAAAACTTATTTTCAATCATTATATTATATTCATGTTACCCAGTCACCATTCATATACCTTTACTGAATACTTACCCTTAATATAATCATATTTCTATAGAGCAGTCTCATTGAAGAGTTCTAGTAATATTTTTTTAAAAAAGTGGTCATCTATTTAAGTATCGAATAACTGATTTTGTTTCATTTTCAAAATCCTATCATAAATATCAAATATGATATATTTTGCACATTATCCTTCATATTTTCTCTGATTCTCACTTTTTTATCAATATGCTTTCAATACTTATTTTGAAGTAGAATACGGTCTGTTGAATTTTTATGTCTGCTTTCAGCTTTTTCGCGGAAGATTTCTCAACTTTGAATCATTTCTACGTTAACATTTCCTCTTAAAAAGGAACATAAAATGCATAGCTAGACGTAGAACATCGCTGAAATTTGAAAAAAGTACTTTTCTCATTAGAAATAAACTGATCCTGCTTTTCTTAAAATCACTAACATTATCCTTTTGAATGAATTTCTTGGGCGTTGGATTGGATATTTCATAGAACGTTTTTTACGTACATATTTTCAACCAAAAAAAATTTCTAAAATTTATTTTAGGAGGAAAACATTTATTCACATTATTTTGACTTTACGATAAAGCAAGAAAAGTATTCTTAAATTTAAATTTTTTGCAATTTTAGTTCCATGCTGCCATTAATGTAACAGACTTCTTACTTACTGCAAGTAAATACAGGATTAATGCTAAAAGTGTATTGTAGTCATTCAATTTTCATATTTCCCGTAATTAAAAATAAACTATCCCTTATAAACTATATTTTTCCTTTCTTTTTTTTTCAAATGTTTTCATCAAATAAATTAAATACCTCTAAAGCAATGCTTCTCAAACTTCCTATATTTATGACCCAATTTTCAATTATAATTTTCATCGCCCCCCCCCCAGTACAATAACAATGTATTGAATTCTAAGGCTACAATACGACTTCAATAATAAACCGTACAAATAATCAAAATAAGTATTTTGTATAAAACTCTTTATGACATACCCTTAGGGCCACTGGTAATTATTAAACTTCTTAACTTAGTACTGTTAAATTAATTATGAAACACATTCTGCTTTACTGATACATTTATAAGTGTATTATATCAGTGTAAATGTGTATTTTATTTTTTATCACGTCAGAATGTATTTTGTTTTGGTTCCTTTCACTAAATTAATATGTTTTTAAAAATAAACTTTTGTTTTCGACTTTTCGAAGTACTCGCACCCCCCTTATGGGGTCATCACGCCCCCTAGGGGGCGCGCCACACAGTTTGAGAAGCACTGCTCTAAAGAATTCACGAGCAGCTCTATCAAACAATCTTTAGGGGGACATGGTACGTTTTATAAAAATTTTGATTTAATGGCTCCTCCAAATTTTTTCGTTTCCCCCTCTAAGTATTTATTTTATTTAAAACAGTTTTTATACTGATGGTTCTTTACAGAATGATGGCTTAGATGGGCCTGGCTTCTATTATGAAAACCTCTTTTTGAATGCTCTTTCGCAACAGACTTGGGCACTAAAAATAGTGATGCAGAGATAGAGGCTGTGAGATAAGCAGTATGGTAGTTGACCAATTATATACTTTTTATAGACTAGCTGTTTTCCTTGTGAATTCTCAGCCTGCAATCCTCACTCTTTGCTCCTTACGCAATAGCAACTCAATAGAGGTGGAGGAGGTAAGAAAGGAAACTCGTGTACTCAACAGTGCTGATTGGACTATTATCTTCCAATGGATCCCTAGCCTTTGCGGCATCCAGGCAACTCTGGCAAAAAGCATGGCTATAATCTCCCACAGCATTCTAGTGGCTTGTCATGCAGCTTGTCTTTTTCAAATATCTCCAGATCCGTGGGAAAATGTGTTCACCGAATTCTAGAGGATGATGCTAGGGAAAAGATCTGAGAGACCCTGCTCCATAGTCCAGCCCCATTGAATCTTCCTAGACAAATCTTCTCTGCTAATTTTAGAACTTTGACCGCGTTCATGATTTTCTTCAGAAAAACTTACATAAAACTGGCGTGAAAAACACCGCCGACTGCCCTCTGTCTTAATGGGGAGACTATGAGTTTGATTCATCTAACAGTTTGTGCTTCTCCCTGACCAACACAAACTTTAATTATTCTTCTGATAACTTTCCTGGAAAGGCAAGCTTGTATTGGGCAGCTCGCAGGCAAATGGCCTATACGACCTTTTCCTCGACGTAATAATAACAAAAGTTTTGTGCTAAAAATATCATGTGAAAAGCTAAGCATTTAATTTAAAAAATTTAAGAATCCATGAATTGATTTTAAATAAGTGACTTAGATGCATGCAATTCCATTTACAAGTACGTCAATCTATATGACAAAAATTGGTATGAGTTTTATGATCACGTGTTTGATATTCGTAAAATACTCCTTTTCAAGAATGAGTATTGAAAATTCCTTGAAAAAAATGCATATATTCAAAATTCTATTACTTTTTAAAATATAAGTATTGGTTTGATTCAAAATGCATGCTTAATTTTATTACATGTACAATATTAATTGCAATAGTCAGAAAAAATATCAAGCATTTGGCACATTAGAAAAAACTTTTAATACATAAAATGAAGAAAAACTAGTGATTTTTTTTCTGAGACAAATCACAGCTTTTTTTTCTTCTGTTAGGGTATGAAAACAAAAATAGACATAAGAATTATTATAATTCTGGGGGTTTTTTAATACAGAGCTTTAACTTTTTAAAATTTTGTAAGATTATAGAAAAATATATATAAAAAGAATTTTTTAAAAATTATTTGGTTTTTTGACCAATTTTTGTCTTGAATCTTACAGTGTCTTTTTAATTTTAAAATCGTCAGTTAAGTAAAAAAAAGAAAGGAAAAACTGCGCAAAAAAGAGATTAAAATGTCATAATGAAAATTAACAAAATTTATTTTATTGAATATAAAATTAATTTTAGAGAAACTTTAATTCTAAGGAGATTTATTCGGAAAAGTTCTTCGAAAAATTATTTCTTGATTCTCATTTGTACAGTGAAACCATATTATAATTTTTAAAAACCTTCCGAGCAATTTCTGTTCTTAAGCCCTCACCTAACTTTCTTAATACTTTTACTGCAAAGAGGATTGTTGACTAAGAGTTACATAAAGGAGTTTAAGGCTGTCTTCGGTAAAAGTACGAGAGCTTGAACTAAACGCGAAGCTCATTTTTTCAGACAGAAAAAATGCCTCAATTTCTATGGAAATTTGCAATATTATAACTCATACCTTTGTTAAAAATATATTTTTTTTAAAAATGCCAAAACATTCCATGAATTTTTTTTGTTATAATACGTGAAGACATAACCCCTTTAACATTACGGTATAGGAGAAAAAGCGCGAAACGCATTTTATACCAGAAAAAATGAATAAACTCGGTTAAAAAACGGGAAGTATAATAACAATTCTGCTCTCCAAAGGATAGTGAAGCCAGAAAATCATATTAATATTTCATTTCTTTAATATCTGAAAAATATTCCAAATTCTGGTCCTATTCTTTAACATTAACCGAAGACAGCCTTAAAATTGAAAGAACATTTATTTCTTGTTGGTAATGAGTAACTTAGATCGCAAAGTTATTATCTATTTTTCATTTAAAGCACCTGTATTAGTAAATGAAATTTGAGTTGATTCTCATACAAATTGCAGTTAAAAATACTGAAACTTTAAGTGCATAATTTATCGTAATATCCTCCATATTTCTCAAAAGGCAAAAGATGTGCAGGTTGTTATTCGATTACACCTTCCAGTGGAATAAATCTCCCGATATTACCACAAATTCCTCCGCTACAAGATTCTTTGACATCTCTCTTTAAAGTGGCACCCATTCAGGCCAGGGGTAGAAACAGCTGTATCTGGATCTACGCTTTAACGAAATCACATTCCTAAATTTTCCATTTCCACAGTATAATTTAAAGACATGCTCAATAAAACCTTGAGCAAAACTATTTTAAGCTGACACTCTCCGCCTCGGACTTAAAACCGATTTCAAACGCTTATACCGTAATGATAGCAATGAATAAAGATTTGTAGCGCAAAGGCTGAATTAAATGTTCCTCAAAATTTACCGAGTGCCCATCTTGCGAGAAATTTTTGCTCACTCACTACGTGGCGCTCGTTATATATCACCCCTTAAATTCAGCTTTTCTCGATTCAAGATAGCCATTAATTAGATAATTGCCTCATATCCCAACGAGAAAGGAACGATTTAAAATAGTAAACCTCAATCTGGCACCATTCGTCTTTATGACGTCATAAAATTGGAGAACCACCTAGTGGTAGAAGCAGGCATCAACCGTGGACTTTTAAAAATGATGTTTGGCCATTGCATGGGACAAAACGATCCATAACTTTTGGTTATTTTCTTTCCCAATGGTCTTAACCGGAAATGATACCGTTTTTGGTAATCATCTTTGCTTAGGTTACTTTTCCGTAACTTCCTGCCTGGAATTTCCCGTTTTGTTTGTTATTTTATCTCTTTTTTTTCTTGTCTCTACCTTGGCCCTTTTGATGTTACGAGAAATCAAATAAAATAAGCGATTTGGTCCCCTTAAAAATCATTTTTGGTGATCTTATAACCTTTAGTTTTTAACTTTAAGCTCCGAAAATGGAGATAATATGTTTAGTTTT